CTGCGAGGAAGCCTCCACACGCTGCGTTTCACTCCGGCTGTCATCATGAGGCGTGTACACGCTCAGGGGATGAGTGGAGGTGTGTGCAGTGCTGTCCACATGAGGCGTTATAACGGCGCTCATGGGTTATTATGGCCGTGTGTAGGAGGCGTATCTCGGACAGAGGAATGCCGCGAGCTCTGCAGGTTATTAACCGATAGGTTAAAACCATAGACTGTATATATAAATGGACGTAGGGTCCGTGACGTCACCCATAGGATTCTGCAGAGTTGCCGTGAAGCCCTTAGTAGGCGGAGTCGGCCACTAACGGCTCAACAGTGACGTCAGAGTTCAACTCCCGCCTTCTCCAGCCTGCTCCAAATAAGGGCAAAGAGGCGGAGCCGAGGCGGGACCTGCTGCCTCCGAGCTGGAAGTTCCAGAGCTAGCTGAAGCTACCAAGCTAAGCTAACATGCTCCCCATCTGCACGTTGCCGTCGCATTTTACGTTTCTAAGGTAAGCGGACATGAAACTATTCAGCAAAACTATACATAATAATCTAAGTTATTGAGTTTTTAGCATAATACTTCAGAATCTTAAAACCCCTTAACGTTTGTATGCAATTGTGCTAAATTCAACACTGGAATCAAGCAAATATTAATATGTTTGCATGACATTAGTTATTTATATTTTTATATCACTTAACTATACGTTTAATACATTTAAGTCAAGCTAAGGTACATGTGATGGTAGCTAGTTAGTGCTCTTACCTGTGAGGCCTCCTCCAAACAGCATAATAACCAGACTGTATCATTAAAACTAAGTACCAGTTCTAGATCCTTGACTTTAGACAAACAATTCAAAAGACAAAATGTATTTAAAGACCAATCTTTATTTGAATGTGCCTCTTAACCTGAGATATTAGTTATACAGTAATAGTATTGACAATCTAAAAAAACTGAGCAACTCAACAGTCAACTTTATGTTTCTTATTGTCTAAAGCATTTATTATTTTCATTTTCCCCCTCTCATATTCAGTGTGGACGGATTGAGACAGCGTGGTGTCCAGAGAGCTGCAGAGACTTCAGGGAGAAACCTCCGTGTGATGGACGTCCAGTCTGTTGGTTTGGAGAGGAATGAGGGTCTTTCCTCTGCGAGGAGGACCAGGCCTGATGAAGGAGCCCATGCTGGGCAAAGCTGATACCAACTGCACAGGCCTAGTCTGTCACTTTATTTGACTAAATGTGTTTACTTATACATTTAATAGGTTTACACCTTCTGTCCATATGTGCTTTTTATTTAAAACATTTGATTAACTTTTGGTTCACATTTCAATAAATTTTATTTGCACTCCTTTTGTCCATTAATCTTACTGAAAATGTTAGATTACACATTCACATCTGACTGAAGATTGGCCCCATTTATTTGTGACGTTGCAAACTCTGCGGTACAAGGCACAGGTGATGTGAAGCTCATAAAGTGAGGCAAATAGAAATAATCAGCTGATGGAGTGTAAATGTGGAAATAGCTGCATTCGATCAGCTGACTGTTTTTACAATAAAAGTAGTTTCTTAGTGAATGTCCTGTACTGGTCTTAAAATCTCATAACATCAGCTTTTAATGTTCCTCTTGGATGTTCTTCTTGACCCTCAGAGAAGGAGACAATGTCCTGTCTTTCAGGCATGTCCTTTCCTAACAAAAATGACAGGAAACATAAAACATATTATTGCAGAACAAGTGTGTTATTTATGAAAGCGGTGTGTTTGTGTGTTTAGGGGCTGTAGATATAATTATTTGTAATTGTATTTTTTTTTTTATTTCAACAATGAGCTACAAAGACAATCAGATTATGAATGAACAGTGTGAAGCTCATCAACATTGAAATATATGTTATTATCAAAATAATATTTAACTGTTATCAAAACGTAGTGCAACTGTAGAAGCTTGCTCTGTTGTCTCACTGAAAGAATAACTTTTACCACGTTTTTTACAGACAATATTGAGAGATAAATAGTAGCAGTTCTCACTATGTGTTAAATATCTTTGCCTTCAATACATTAAATTAGAAAGCTGACAAAGTCATATTGCTTGTTAACAATAACATCTAAATGTAACTTTTTGCATGGAAAAACCCCTCAACTTCACTGATGTGTAGGTGATCTAGTATTTAGTATTGTTTAATGGAATGTATATCAGTGTATTCAAGTCAATACTTCATTCATTTAAACCAATATCTTTCTTGATTCTTTGTACAGTATGAAAAATAGAGTCTTTGTACCTGAGCTGAGGTTCACTGCTGTGAGGAGTCCAGTTCTGTCTCTCACTCTCTGGTCCAGCCTGTCTGCATCACCTGGACACTTTAAACAAACAGATATATATGTAAAGTACCATGTGTACAAACAATATAACTGATTATCTTCTGTTGAACATGTTGGATTGTGTATTGTCCGAGTCAGGGTCCTTTTTATTTTACTGTAACTTTGGAAGTTGTGTTACCAATGCTTACTGTTGTTTATTTGATACCCATTTGGTAATGCAATTAATAAAAACAACAAGGTTTGGGTTTGTTCTTCAGATGACTGTGACGTTAACGTGTAAGCTCGATAATGAACTCCAGCTCAACCAACCATATTGTAATATCTAAGTAATCATCTTGAAATATGACATTAATAATTGTAATATACACACATCTTATTGTGAGGTTGATTTCACATACACTACTTCGACATTAGCTTGTCTACATACTTGAGCATAGCCAATTTAAATTAACCTTAGATGCATACAGTTCCTACCTACATAATAAAATATCTCTAAGTTACAAGGATGTAACCTTATTTTATCAACCTCAAACAGAAGCCGTTTGTTCAACAGTATTATCCCACTTAACGCTTAACACTTGTCTATTTCGTTTTAACCTTTATATATACAGTCTATGATTTTAACTTGGAGGCTACGATTAGCATCGTTAGCACCGATGTAGCTACCACTAGCTTACATGCTAACCCAAGCCTTACCATTCATTACGTAGCTGATTAAAATCATTAACACATAAATAAAGCACTCAAATGTCACTTACCGCATTCATGCACCATCTGTTTTAACCGCAGAGCGAGTCACAACAGTCCGATATATAAGCATGAAGAACAAACAACCACGGCCGGCTACAAGTTGTGTTTCCTGGATGAGCTGAGCAGGCAGAGTCCCTGTAGCTAGCTTCACGGAGCAGGTAGCAGAGAGACAAGAAGCTAACAGTGGCAGTCAATTCACAGAGCCGTCACTCAATGTGACCACGCCCTAATTGATGCACAAACTTTAAGACCTAATATAAATAAAAGGGTCGCGTTAGAAAACAATTCACTCACAGATCCATAATCATGAAGGTGGAATCTAACTATATCGATAATAAAATGTATGGAGCCAGGGGTAGAAACATGTTTTTTTCTGCTGTAAAGTTGGGCATTTTAACATGGGGGTCTATGGAAATTGCTCCTTTCTGCAGCCATCGCCTATCGGCCAATATATGAACTGCAGTGTGTGGCACTTCCGTATTGGCTTCCCGGCTCTACCACACAGTTTGCCGCTTGGTTAAAACCAGCAGGCTTCTGCAGGGAGCCCTGCTGTCTACTTAATCAACAGATTAGTGGCAGCTGGCTTAATTACCGGCTCTGCTTCCTCGGAGGCTCTCGCGGAGCAGACCAGGAGTGGGGGAGCCTCACTCCCCTTTGACTCGCCGCCGGGAGACCCTGTCTCTGGGGTGACGGGGGTCCGAACAGCCCGTCCGGGCTGATTGGAGCGTCCAGTAGCACTTTTCTGGCCGTCTCCGTAACAGACGCCTGCTTCCGCCAGAGGTGGCGCTGGATCTGTGTCACCCACGCGGAAATCCTCACCTGGGAGACAGCGACGGACGCGCACAGAATGAGCGCCGTGCTGGCCGCCTTGCTGGCCGCCTTGCTGATTTCCTCTGCCTCGGTGGTGGACCGCTCTATAGTGTCACCACCGAGTTGGAGAGCAGCGCGATGTTATTCGCCGCTGTGCTGTGGTGACGGAGAGGGGGAAAGCATGTTCGGCCGCCAAGCTGGCACCCTGCTCCGACTCTGTCTCCCCCGTCCGGGGGAGAGGAGGGAGGGGAGAACCGAACGGTGAACCGTGGAGGGAGGCGGGGCAGGAGTTGGTTTTCTTCGGACTCCTGCCTGGCACTCGGCCCCAGGGACCCGAGGCCCCGTCCGCGGCTCGTAAGCCTGACGGGCCAATCGTCGTCCTCGGCCGCAGCCGCAAGAGCGTCCGCTCTCCGCTTCCTGTCGCCCGAGGAGAGACGGGCGCAGTGTGTGCATGCTACCTGCTGGTTTAGAGCCGCGTATGCGTGCTCTGACCCCAGGCAGGATTCGCATACTGCTTTTATCTCTGCTGGTCATAACTCATTATGAACCCCAGAGCCACATGAGGGACAATCGCGGACGCAGTTGTTGCTCATGATGATTCTCAATTGCTGTGCTTCAGTAACTGTGCTGGTTTGCTGAAGAAAAGAGGGAGCAGATTGCCGGGCCTCCTTCCTATTTATACCGGAAGGAGGTCCGAGGGTGGGGCCCACCTTGCGGGTGGGCGTGGACTACAAGTTTTCAGTGCTGCGCGGGGGCGCAGGGGGATTACCCAATAGCGATAGCCTTAGAGGGCGAAGCCATATACGAAATAGATCTGAGAGCAGACATTTCACGAGCGCACAGAAACAGCCTGAGTGCGAGGAGAAGGTTTTAAGCTGGAACACAGGAAATCTGTAAGCAGCAACATATCTGAGTGCAAGCGTACAGTTTGAGCAGCAGCATAGCATATCTAAGCACAATCAGGCACTATTTGAGTGCAAGGACAGGGTTTGAGGGAAAGAAATACATAAAGTATGCTCTCAAATGTAAAGACCACACTCTTGAATAAAGATAGGGAATAACCCCCATATTTGTCCTGCCAAAATAAACTCTCTGTACTAAACACATACAAAAGACACAAAGGTCACAGCAACAGGAGGACATACCAGAGGGACTCATGGCTGTCTGTCCGATACATTTGGTCCCCGTTCCCAGGGAAACAACCTCCTTCTCAACTGTTGGAGAAAAAAGACTTTGATCACATATTTAGTCCGTACACATGCTTCACATTCTTATATCCTTTTTAAAATATGTTCTCTAAATGATAGGCAAAACATATTGTTCATGTAGTCATGTTCCTGTGCAGTGTGTTCTGGATATAAAAGGGACAATGATATTGCTTTGAGTATATTTATTACGTACATGCTTCAGAAGTGATGGAAAGTAATTACATTTATTTTCATTGTCTGCTAATTTATACTTCTACCTAGGGATGCACGATAATTATCGGCCCGATAATTATCGGTCCGATATTAGGAATTATGACGTCATCCCGATAAATTCGATACCAGTATTAATAGCCCCGATAATATACAATATATTTTTTTGGGTAAAAAAAAAGAAAAAAATACTGCGGTGTGGGTGGATTGGGATGAGGGGCGCTTGTTTTTCACTCGGCTCCTCCCGTTTTACCAGTACTGTGGTATTAGTGGTTTAGGAAGAGGGGAGTTTTTCACAAATCCAGCGCTCCCTAACTCGTGAAGCCAGGACAGTAAACAAACATGTCGTCGGTGGTATGGGCGTTGGATCTATGTGCAACTCAAGGCATATGCTCGAACCGGAGCTGCAATCATGTTGCGCACTATCCGTGCTGAGTGTGCTGACTTTTCGTACAATGTCCCACTGTCTGGCTTCCTGCATAAAGTCAAGTGCTCGGCGCAGTTGTGGCGAAATGTCGCTCCTCTGTTTTCATTTAAACAGCTCCGTATATCCGTTAGCGCAGCTAGCTAGCACCAGATGCTAACAACAACAATGCACGTAAGGTTTCTCTCTCGCTCGCTCGGGCCACACATACACACACCCTCCCGGTCCTCCAGATGGCCAGTCGGTGCCTGCCGGTGAGCGTGGAAGTGTGGTCTGCCACAAGCGGGCGACAGGAGCGGGGCTGTCAGCATCAGCTTGTAGATGGTATTTTAAACTCGATGCGCTCTGAAACTACGGGGTGGCCGAGGAAAAAAAATACACATGCGTTAATTGCGTTAAAATAATTAGTGGCGTAACATTTTTTTTATTATCGGTTATCGGTATCGGTCTTGAGAAGCAGGAAGTTATCGGTATCGGTTTAAAAAAACCAATATCGTGCATCCCTACCTTTATATATACAGTCTATGATCCCTACTTCTACCCCAAAACATTTTTGAAAAATATTGTACTCTCCTACAATTATTTCACAACATATGTTACTAGTTACTTTTGCAGGTTTATAATATGAATAAAAATAAAGAGTAAATTAACTGATACACTTTGATGAACTGTTATGGATGGAGATATCTAGCAGTATAAACAGTTGTTCATGTTATCTCATCCTTCAGCTGCAACTTAAAATGACATTAATGCATCACTTATTATAAACCAATGATATAATATATATTATTCAGAAAATGGCCACTTTGGATAAATAGTATAATTAGATGCAAAGTACATTTTGCATCTAATCAGAGGTGGGAAGTCACTAAGTACTCAAGTACTGCACTAAAGCACAATGTTGAGGTGCTTCTACTTTACTTGAGTATTTACATTTTTTGCTACTTTGTACTTCTACCTCACTACAATTCAAAGGTAAATTGTGTTTATTTAATATCTTTAGTAGCTTTACATATGTTGAGTGCAGGTCATGGTACCGGCTGGCTGTACAGCCGTCATGCCGTCAGCCGTACGTCAACGTTCTCGCGTTGCATTGACGAAACGCAAGTCGATGTTAAGTTTGGAAGGAAAAGGCTGGTTTCCCTCCGGTTACAGAGCAGGCTTGACACGAAGAGAACATGAAATATGGTTGTATGTTGTCCAACCTGTGTCAGAGTTAGCCCTCCGGGTGATTCTGAGCACCGCGGCCAGCAGGGTCCACTCTCTGCCCGGCTCAGGCTTCCCTCTCCGGGGCAGCTGTTGGAAACGCTCGTAGCACAACTTGGCGATTTCATCCGGGTCCACCATGTTAACCCGGGCCGGGGCGTGTGAGCGGGGGCACACAGGCATTAGTGTTATAATGTATGTATAAGTGAAATGTAATTTAAGAAGTCACGGTCGCACATGAACAATATCTAACAGTCTCGAGATCTCGAGAAAACGCAGAGGTCACTTCCGGGCCGAGCCGGCGAATGATTTCAAAATAAATGTCCTTCACTATTGGAGCCCGAACATCTAATTACAGGAGCTATCAGCAGGGTATTACTAGAAAACAGTAGAAGTGTCCATGTAGTACAGGAAGCAAAAACAATTACGGTAGTAATTATTTTAAGAGCAAAATATTATAGAAAACCTTGTACCATTATTGTATTGTACCCTTGTACCTCCTTGTGTGAAATAAATACAGATCATTTAATTTACTATATGCATAATTAATGAGGTTTTTAATGTACAATACCAAAATAGATGAATTTTGGATATGATGAATGGTAAAGAGCACAAATGCACACGTTTCAAATGTTGGAATAGAGTGTGTGTAACACATTGCCTGCTTATTACCTGCAGCAAGAGCAGATCTGGATTGCCTCAGCAGCACCTCCTAACTCTATGTTTGTGCTGTCTGGCTGCAGCTCAGCCTGAGAACACGGAGGCTCTTTGTGCTCCTGGATCATACTCTGTCTCACATCTCTTACGCAAAAGTAGAAACTGAATTTGCTCCAAACTGCCGTCATTTCTTCTGCGGACAAACTAAGTCGACACTGGCGGAAGATGTAGTTCCTAGTACTCTCCCTCTGTCAGAGGCAGCTTCTCTGTGCTCTCCAGGATGGCTTTGAGCTGCTGACCACATGCAGGGAGAACTCCACCATTGAGCTGCAGATTTGAACTTTTTAAGTTCCTTCAATACTTCTAACCACTATCAGTCCTTTCCTTTCTCTAGGACCTTTCAACTGTCGCTCTCAACTTTGGAAGAAAATTACCTAATGGCATTTAATGAATAATAAAAATTGATAGACAATAAAAAGATCCTTCATTTGTTCTCATCTTATTTAATGTTTTTTTATCAACAATTGTAACAGCAGAATTGTCAATCTCTAAGGGAAGTTTCCAGCACCTTGTTGAGTCTATGCCACGAAGAATTAAGGCAGTTCTGAAGACAAAAGGGGTCCAACCCGGTACCAGCCAGCTGTAACTAATGAAGTGGCCAGTGAGTGTAGAGCTCCTACTTATCATGACAAAATGTCTCTCCAAAGAAAGCATGAACACAGCTCAAGATTTAAATCTGATTTATTTGAATTATGTACAGAGGGAAAACGCTGAATTTCACAAGTAATAACAGAAAAATAGAAATGAAATCACAACTCTTCTCTGAAGCCTCTGGGACAGAGCAGCACTAGTTCATGATAACGGCTCTGTCTCGTGTACAGACACACACATGCACTCATTCACTGCCTCTCTCTCTCACTCTGTTGTCTCTCTCGTCTCATTCAAATGTTAAAAAAGGTAATTCTCTCTGGTAGATATGTTATACTGCATTAGGGGGGAGCTGCTGTGTTGTAGTGAGTCTCTGAATCTGTTTTTGGTGCGTTTCTAAGCAGTGAGTAGAGGTGAGTGTGATGGGTGAGACTAGTCAAATATAATTCTCTGTATGCGCCCTCCTGTCAAACCCTCATACATTCACACCATTATATGCATATACACAATGGCATTAATGTGAGACACACACACACACACACACACACACACACACACACACACACACACACACACACACACACACACACACACACACACACACACACACACACACACACCACACACACACACACACACACACACACACACACACACACACACACACACACACACACACACACACACACACACACACACACACACACGATTTCTCAGCCCGGTGATTAACAAATGCAAAGTAATAATATTAATGACAAAACAACGATCCCATTGAATGGACTGTCCTTCTTTAAATGTGTTTGTTTCCTGCGTCACTCCTGTCCAAAGCCCTCCGTCTCCTCGATGGCGAACAGGAGTTTCTCGCGGAGCTGCTCCAGGCTCCTGTAGGGCGGCAGGTCCAGACGGTTGAAGCTGAGGAGCAGACAGAGGTTTAGTCTTCATGTCCATACACGGTGATATCGGTGAAATACTGAATCTACAGTCAACTGTTCTCCAGATGAATGGTTCCACATTACAAGATGTGTCCCTGTCCCCTTATTCTGTCCTAACTGTGGACGTCTCATTAAGTGACCTGATTCAGAAGGAGGGCTAAGAGACTTCTGAATTCAAGAGACTTTTTCATGAAATCAAACCAGTTTTTATACAATTTATAGACCCTTTTTATTTGATCATCTTTATTTTAATCCTGAAATTAACTCCTTATACATTAATTGTAATTGTTGGATACAGAGTTAAACATTTATACTATGCTCATTTTCAGGTGATTAGTTCTGTGTGTTTTATAGAACAAGTTGAAATGCCTAAAAGTAGTCTTTGAACAGTGTTGGTTATGAAGAGGTAGCTCCCAACCTGAAGGTAGTCCTGGCCCGTTTGAAGCACTTTCTCAATGTACACCGTGTGCATCTCTCTGTAGATGGAGCGCTTTGATACTTTAACAGTCTTTTAAAAAGCACCTAGACCTAAATGAGTATTTAAGAAATGTAAATATGGGACCTTCCTTCACAAAAGGAATCCACAGGAATAGATGCAGCACATCATTGGAAAAAACAGAGATAATCTTAAAGCTGCCCGTTCATTGTATCTGAATCTTCCTATTGTCTTCAAGAACATTTCCTAAAGGATAAACTCACCATGTGTGACTTCTTGGAAGCCAAGTCTCCTTCCCCACCTTGTCTATGCAGAACTTCTGGGGACCGTTACTTCCTGCTCAAAGGAAAAAAGTGATTTCAATGAATTTAAGCTTGAATTTCTTTTTATTATAATGGCCTTACAAAACAATTTCACTTGTTCTAATGCTTACCATACATTCTTATAAGGGACATTATTATATAAAAGCCAGGATTCAAATCATATTTAAAGTTGTTGAATTTCCTGTGGTCTAGTAAAACTGCTCAAACACTACATTTGAATATAATGAACTTCCATAGTTCTAACTTCATCAGTACAACAAGTCCTCTCTTTTGAACAGAGATACTCGTTTCCTCCTCCTGTTCATTCCAGTTGTTCTGTTGCCCTGACTGAGGATGCCACTAAGGAAACTTTGCATAGTATCAATAATTGGAAGGCTGGGATACGCAACATGTCAAACCTAACAGTGAGGGGAGTGGGGAGTGTGTGTGTACCTATGAGCTCAGTGAAGCCTCCGACAGGCAGTCTGCACGTTCCCGTCACAAACTGCAGCAGACGGATTCTCTTCTCGTTGTCCATCTCTTTCACCACCTGCAGAAACACACCTCCATCAATCACTGAACACACCATGCAACACAGTGTGTGTGTGTGTGTGCGTGTGCGTGTGTGTGCGTGTGCGTGTGTGTGCGTGTGTGTGTGTGTGTGTATGTGTGTATGTGTGTATGTGTGTATGTGTGTGTGTGTGCGTATGTGTGTGTGTGTGTGTGTGTGTGTGTGCGTATGTGTGTGCGTGTGCGTGTGTGTGTGTGTGTGTGTGTGTGTGTGTGTGTGTGTGTGTGTGTGTGCGTATGTGTGTGCGTGTGTGTGTGTGTGTGTGTGTGTGTGTGTGTGTTGTGTGTGTGTTTGTGTGTGTGTGTGTGTGTGTTGTGGTTGTGTGTGTGTGTGTGTGTGTGTGTGTGTGTGTGTGTTGTGTTGTGTGTGTGTGTGTGTGTGTGTGTGTGTGTGTCCGTACCTGCCAGAACCAGTGGATCTGCTTGCTGTTCTTGGTGTAGTGTCTGTAGATGGTGTTCTTCTGCCAGTCGGCCATGTCTATCTCCTGCATCCCACACAGCATCAGCTGCAACAACCAGGACACTTCAATGACTGCGACTACCAGAGGTACAACGCTGACTCATTCCTGCACCACTCCATCAGGACAGTCAGTATAGAATGAATGATCATTTCCCCCTCTTCCTCTCTCACCCCATCACTAATGCGGATGCTGCTTTTAGTTCACATAACTCCAAACTCTTGATAAGTAACCAAGTAGTTATTTTTTTACAAAATTACTTTTTTATAGAAGCCTTTCCTATTTTTTACCTCACTCAGTTTATTTATGTGTCTATGTTTGCTATGTTCCAATGACTTTTATAATCAGATTGTACTGCATCTGTTTGTATGACATACAGAAGATAAATAGTCCATTATCTTTCATTTAAGTGTATTTAATATGAGAGGAAATATGCTGAAAATCAACCAATAAGTAATAATGACTTTAGATTTGAGTGTGTTCTAAATCCTTTCATTCATTACTCCTCTTCTGACTTTAAAAGGACTTTTTCCATGCTCCATACGCTGGTGCTCCTCCTCACCTCCAGCTCCTTCTCGTCGAAGTAGCGCAGCCACTCCAGAGGAACCACTTCATTGAAGCCATCCAGGAAGGCCTTGGTCTGCTCCTCCACCCCCCGGGTGAACCTCCAGTCTGTCAGCAGGCTGAGGGAAAAAGATAACCCTTGTGTTAACGCTGAACTAATTGATGGTTAGCATGTCTGATCTGTGTGTCTGTGGCAGCGGCTGCTACTGCCTCTGTTCACCCACTTGATGTACTCCTCCTTGTTCTCCTCCGTCACCAGCTCGTTCTCTCCGTCGTCTTTCAGCTGGTGGGTGGACACCTTCCCCAGGATCTCCATGTCCTGTGCAAAGTAAAGCTCCACTCCACACTCCTCCAGGTTGTTGTTTCTGGAAACACACAGAGACAACTTACAGCAGGGTTTGCTTCCTGCAGGAAGTCAGCTGCTACGCTTCCTGTGGTATGTTCACTTCTCCAGGTTCAGGGACCTTTATAAACATGCTTTTACACATGGAACATTCTAATGTGCTATTTTTAGACACCACAAATTCAAAATGACTTCAAAATGCTGGAGAGAATGCTGTGAACAGAAAGCAAACCATAGTCATGTATTTTGGTCATGTAAAGCTATGAGGAGCTTCTGAGAAACTATTCAGTATTTCTCTAAATAAGAACCTATTTTATTATTACTTGAAAAAACACCAGATGAAATCAAAAAGAAGAAATATTATAAAACGTATCTTTCTTACTTTATAAGAGCTGCAATTATTAAACAAATGACAAGGAACTGGTTA